GACATAAAATGGGACTTATAAATCTCTTTTCCTCCCAAAACATATACAGAAACAATTTTAAATTCACTGACTTTTTATGTACAGTACATGTGGACATGAGTACAGTATTTCATCTCTCACTTCACCTACTTCATAAAATAGAGATCAAACATCAAACATGTTAAGTTTTCATTTAATCTTTCTATTATATGTTAAATCTAACAAATTTGAAAAAGAAAAATAAATTTTGATCCTTAAATTCAGATACTGTATATATTTTCTCTGGTAATTACTGGATCCAATTGCTTTTTATCATTTTTTAAAATTTTATTTATAACTGCGCTGCTGTGTTTATACTACTGGGTGAAGAGTAGTAGCAATGGAGACGAAATGATGAGGGAATGAAACCCCAACCTCTAGGTTGGGAAATCAAACCATCTCAGCTGCACCAAACCGCTTCTACACTGATAAAGCCGTTTAATGAAATATAGAAATGAAACTAAGCAAATTTGAATCAACATTTCATCACTATGCACAGTACTGTAAACGGACAGATTAACATTGAAACAGTAATTATAGAGAATCAAATTAAATTAAATATGTCTAGGTTATGCCATTTAACTGTCAAAGTAAAGTACTGGTTAGTAGTATATGCATCCTTTAGGGTTCTCTATGTTGCATTAGCAATTATGTTTATTTATTTGGTTTGATTTGATAATTCATCATGTCGTTAATATAGTACTTCAAGAAAAATAACTTCTATCCTCCATTTTTTCTTCTCTTCCTCCAGCCTTGTTTTTAGCTTGCATGTTCTGCCACCCAACTCCGGCCCCACAAAAGTTTTAATAATGTATCCTTATAGAACAAACTATTTATGAAGGTTTTTATTGTCCAGTGCATTTTTACCTTTTAAGTATTGGTATTTTTAATGTGAATTTCTCTTTTTTTTTTCTTTTTCTTTTTTTTTTTGCTTGTTAATATAACGCAATTTAGTTCATGCTAAAATAATATATTTATTTGACAATTTTCTTTTTTAAACCTTTGTGTTGTTTCTATAATAAATGAACAAAGGTTACTAACTTTCAACAAGTGCCAGATCAGAATTATAAGTTTTCACTAGTTTACAAATATTTACTACAAAAACCATTACATTTACTGACAAAACTAGTCTATGAACATTCAAAGTCTATGGAGTATCAGTAGATAGTACTTTTCAATATGAAATTTGTCTTATATTTTATAGTATGTTTAATATATTTTGAGTGATGAATGCTCAGTCTTTATGAACCACAACATCGTCTCTGCACTCGTCATCTAACTAAAACAGATTCAAAGAAAACAACAGAAAGAAAACAAGATAAAATGATGAAACTTTGTAGAATGGAAATCAATGAAGAAAAAAATCATTCAAGATATTGCTCAGGATATGTCTGGTCTACCAAGTTTGAACTTGAGCTTTACAGTACCAACCATCAATAAAAATGCTCATGAATGTTAATTTGAATGTACTGTAGTGTGGTGATTCATCTACTAATCCCAGGTTCTACAAATTCCAGGATTATTTTACTGTCGAAATATAAAATTTTATGAGATAATATTTGTTATGTGCCCATATATAGACATGATGATGTCATATTACACTCAAATATAGGCATATGATCACAGATACTGTATTTGTCATATACTGTAAAATATGATAGTGTGGAGAATACTTAACATCTCCCAATTATGTGCAGTACCCCTCTGTCTAAGCGAAGCAATAAAAGAATTTGCAATTTAGAGACTGAATTTTCATATACTGTAGGGCGGTTCCACCGAAAGGTCAACCTCGTCATCAAATTTTCATATTTACTGCACCTACCCAAGTAAGGTGTCATTTTGAAGCTCATATTATATACTCTCTGGTACAAATAATTTTACATCAATTTTTATATATATTATATATAATTATCTGGTTTGAAGTTAAGAGTATCAAATTTATGCATTTTACCAAAAAAACATGTAAATTGACACATAACTGTATAAAACAAGCTAAACACTTCATTTATGATAAATTATTATTTTATATCAAAGTGTACTAAAATATCTGCCAGACTATAACAAAAAAAAGAAAAAATAATTGTCGGAGTTTGCATTAATTAAATTTTAATTAGATTTATTTTTTTTTTTACGTCCATAACCAAAATTTCATCTTTTTTTTATTATCAGGTATTAAAATTTTTCTGTACATATAATACCAAAAAATATTTGCAAAGCAGTTTTCAGGTCCCAAGTATAATCATCTAAAAAAAAAATGTTATCTAAAAAAAAAAATGTTATCTCCAATTTTAAAGTCAATATTTACGCTATAATTTATGTACGTCCATAACCGTACGTCCATAACTAAAACCTGAAATGTGAATTGTGTTACCACTGAACATCTTGCAAACAGTGTGGAAACTATTAATAATCTACTGATGTTCTTTCTCAGAGAGAATCTTTATCAACTTTTACTATAACCATGACAACTATCTGCCCTCCAGTTTTATGAGTAATGTTCTAAAAATAGCCAGTTATGGATGTACGCAGAGAAAATGACTATTTCAAACATACATTTAACATTTTAAAAACTCTGTGAGAATGAGAATTTATTTTTTTTTTTAGTTGAATTAAAGTATGTTACAATATGAGGCTTGCTATCCCAAAAATCAGTGTCCAAAATATGAAAATTGACTTTTTAATATTCTTATTCTCCACACTCTGTAAGCTTTAAAATGATGGGTCATTAACGGAATCGACTTTATTATTGCCAATGTTTTTTTGAGTAAAAGTATTATGGCTTCTCTGCACTGCAGTATACAATACTGCAATATTCTCTATGACTTAATTTCATATTGTATATAGTATGCTGGTTTTGTGATGGCATACCTCATAACTGTGACCAAAGTTTATTCATGACATCAACATTTCTTGAATTAATATGCATTTAAGAAAATAGTTGAATTTTAATATTTTATGAATATCTTGACTTTTAAATAGACAAAACATCATGTTGATTAATATGTGTTTAGTATAGAGCCATAACTGGTTTATATCACAATGAAGAAAACAATTAATGTATAGAATGACGAATAAAAAAAGTGAGAAAAATTGCCTTTATTGCTGGACTGCTACCTAGAATTGTAAAATTTGGCTTGTTAAAAATTTAACATTATTAATTGATGCATTCTGAATTACTTTTTATTTGTAATGATATTTTAGAAATATAAAATAAATTCAAATGTAGTAGGCCTACAATGTATACTACATAAGAAAAGAAAATGAAAGTTTATAGAAATAGACCTACCTACCTTTGAAACACATGATACTATAATCAATTTCTCAGGATCACTTATTGTACAGTAACAGTGTATGAAAAATGGAATTTTTTTTGTTTGAGGTTTTTAGTCCATAGTACACATTTTGGAAAAGCTTTACAGCTTTATTTCAATAAATGATGTTTGGAAGTTGATATTGGCTAATTTGCGTATGTTTTTTATGTAAAAATATTAGGTGTACGTCCACAACTTTCAGACACGTACGTCCATAACCATGAGTGTGTATGTCCATAACAACAACAAAATGAACGTAAAATCTATGTACAATCAATAAATGAGACTAGATAAACTATATTAGGAAGCTTTAAGTCCATTGTATACACACATATTTTTATTTATTTTTTTAGACCTCACACTTCACAGAGTTTTTAAAATGTTTAATGTAAGTTCGAAAAAGTCATTTTCTCTGCGTACGTCCATAACCGGCTATTTTTAGAACATTACTCATAAATTATAAAAGATAGGCTGATAGTTGTCATGGTTATAGCACTACAGGTAGTTGGTGTACCTGAGATGTCCATATCAAAAGTAACCCAAACCCATTGGCCTGTATTGAAGGCTTTGTTAAGTTCTCTAAACTGTACGTCCATAACTATGGAACGGCCCTGTAGCATCTCACCTCAGTGGTACTATAAGACTCTACAGAGTACCCTAAGGGTAGCAGCCAAGCTCCCAGGGCAACTTTTTCTCACAACAAAATCACAACCCAACTATACTTTAATTAGAGTATCTGTAGATGATAATTCATATTTCAAAGCTCTAATGCAACAGTGCACAATGCTAACTAGTGATAACATACAGTTTATAATTGTGTTTCTTGTTCATTCACTATTGACCGTGTACATGATAACATTATAAGAAATAGATAAACTTACAAGTTGCAATTACTGACATGTTTTTGTGATTTATTTTAAGATCAGATAATTGTACACAAAAGTATCCCTCCCCACAGGTGAATTCAAGGACACAGGGGGAAAACTGCAGCTGGCCTTCCCTCTCCCCACCAATTTTTTTAAAATTTCAAAAGAAATGGGAGAAAAACATTAGAAAATTATATTAAAAGTTGAGTCTGAGAGTGCCACTTTGAGCCATTTATTATGGTGGCATACTGTACCTCAGTCCCAAATGCAGTGGGACCGAGGTAGTCTACACTCTCCTTCTGTAAAAGGCCCTCCTCTGGCCCACTCACAGTATTTCAAGCTCCTAGATCTGCCACTGCTCTTCTGTACTTCTTGACATCTAGTACAGTATAAATCACAGGTGGGCAAAGTGCAGCCTGCGTGCCTCATGCGGCCTGACAGCGATTTCTTTGCAGCCCGTGAAAATAAATTAAAAACCCTGTGTACAGCCCGCCAATAAACATTGGCTAAAAAACACCTTTTTTTACAGCCAGACACCGATGTAAAAAGTAACATTAAAACTGAGAATAAAGTGGTGAAAAAGCAGCACTTGGAGGTTTTTGGAAGCTCACTGGAAACATCAAAATTTGGTTGCGGCCTTCGGTGTTAAATCAAAAATTCACTTTGGCCGCCCTCTGGACGATTTTTATGCCCACCCCTAGTATAAATCATTAATGTGGAGTACTTCATGTCTACTCAGTCTACAAGGATGGAAGGAATACATTTTTCTTTAGAAATTTCAAAATATCAAATGAGGAATACTTACACATGGCCATTGAGGGAAGCATGGTGAAGTGGGGTATATCCTGAGGCGTCCTGACAGTTGGGTCCTCCACCTCGACGAAAGCTACTGCAGGTCAAATACAAAAAACCAAAAAAAAAAAAATTATTATTGAGGTAAAATTAAATTGGTACATGGAGTACAGTAATCTACAAATTTTCACTAGATAAATTTATTGCAAAACAGTGCTGTACCTCAAGAAAAATATAATTTTTAATTAGAAAAATCATTGGACCACCTGGGTCGAGGTCTAAAAAACCATTTTTTAACAGAAATGCTCAATTCTTTCCCTAATTACATGAATTATATTTATACTGTAAATAAAAAATAAAAATCAAATTGCCTAAAAATTAAAAATTACTTGAGATTCAAATTGGCAAGGTTTCTTTATGAAATCCTTTTGAAGTAGCCAGACATTGGTCTCCAGTCTAATCACAGTGCTGAATACTTCATTGATAAATACTGGAATTTATAGCAAGAAAAACATTATTTATTGAACTATCCCGGACTTACATACACTAAAAGGAATAAGAAATGCTGTACAATTCTGTTAAACAAATTATAATAGCTTTAACCTTTAGGAAATGTCACAATAAAGAACAAAACATAACCATTTGGCAGACTAAAGCCTTCAGTAGAAACTTTCACAATGGAGAGAATGTACAGAGGTCATCAACTCCTGAGACAACACATGTCTTTGTAATCTTTTTTTTGCATGTCAAGTCAGCTCAACAACACATGAAAATTTTGTGTGCAGTATACTTTCTAAGTATTACTTATAGACTAGTTTATTAAGCCTAAATACTAAAAATACAATTGAATTAAATGAGGAACTTATTCATGTACAGTATTACTGATGTCAAACAGTATAAAGAACAGAAACTGCACTCTTAAACTAAAAAATCACTCCACAAGTGTACAGAAACTGACCACAGTATGCAATTTATTATTGGTGGTACAGGTATTTGGTATTTTTAATATTATCTACAATGATTTAATATGATTTTTTATTTACCAGTATTTTAATAATATTTAACTATATTAATGTCAGTATTAATACATAATATAGACTGGTCTGTCTCTTTTTGGAGTTACTGTCTTTATGTTTTACATTAATATAATATTATAGTAAAAAAATTTTTAGGTGCCGCAAGCTCATATTTTCAACAATACAGTAATAAACATTCTTTAATTATATTTTATGTAAAATAAACTACAGCAATGGATATGGATTGATTGGGGCCGAGTTGACCGGAGGAAAAGCTAATTTGGGGACGGTTCACCCGCCGGTATCAACTGTCTCAATGCAAAATAAATGCACAAATAACACAAAGGGTGGTGCCAACATTAAATTACACTTACTGCTGTATATTTTGTAAAAGTATTGTATAAGGCTTGGACAGCATTTTGAAAAATGCTACGAAAGAAGTCATCAACCTACACCTCTCTCACCTATAGGCCTGCCTCTTCTCTTTTCTTTAAACCAAACAAGGTTCAAGGCCAGGAAATCAGGCCAAGCCTACTTTACTGAATCCTCTCTTAATATTTGCTTTGCACACTGTAGGTCAGTAAAATAGCGTGTTTCCAAGCCTAACCACGATTATTTATTTACATCAACCTAGTGGTAGGCGGTATAAAATACATAATACACCTTGGCCTTGATGGAGCCAAAGATTAGCCAGTTGGGAGAAGAAGAATCTTTGTCAGTTCTCACCTTGCTAAAGCTATCGCCTGGTTTAGTACACGCGGACGGAGCTTTGGGCTAAGAATTTTCTCAACCACCGCAACGCTTCCAGTTCTTGCTGCCTCTAATAACTCCTGATCTTTACCCATGATTTTAATATTCCTTCAGATAGTACACAAATAAGAAATCTTTAGATTGTATAGTCCTTTTGCTTCTATAGTTTATCATTCTTGGTGGCGAACATCATCCTCCTCATGACTTCATGTCTCTGTTGTCGTATATCAACGACACACCAACTCTAAACAACAACACTTCCGCCTTTTACTCGTAAAAATTTAAGCTGGTCGTACGCCCTCTAATTTTTCTTGATGAAGACACAACCTCGGCTAGCTCTGTCGAGAAAAATAATTGTTGTATTATATGGTAATTCAAATTAAATTATAGTAATATAACACGTAACGGTGTTGTTTAACATTCCACTGTGTGAATGGGCACCTCGTAATCGACTACTAAAATCCATGGGCCCCACACTTTCTCGTCCTAGGGCCCCGTGACTCTTCGTTACACCACTGAGTATCAAGCTCTCAATTGATATCAGGATATGTGCCTCAATTCCAACATCTATATATTAGATATGTCGCCTTGCTTCATTTTAAACCAACATGTTTTTCAAGAAAATACTATTTTGAGGCTCAGTAGAGATTCAGAAAGCTGTAGCGTTACATTTTTTATTTCTACTCGCCAAAGAGGCTATCAAACTTCAGCAATTTTCTGAACATATACCAAGCCTAAAGTCGGCCTACCTATAATAAAATAAAATAAAATATAAAAAACCCATTTTCGACAATAATGTTTGTCATGGCTCGCATTAATATGCAAATATAAGCTACAAATTGAAAAACAATGTTCTTGAAATAATAGATACTTTTATAATCTTTTAATACTATATCAATTAATCGTCATTTCCGTGGTTGTGGATATGTACATAATTAGCAATTGATTATTAATTTTTATTCCATAATGGCATCTTCGTTTCCTAATGACGTTTTCCCGTAACCCATGGGAAAATATTCTAAAGATAACGTACCGTATGCTCGGTATAGTAAAATTGAAAACTACTAGCTGAGACTGAAGCTTGGTAAGGGACCGATGCAAAATTAATGACTTGTTTCAACACGGACGTATATCGTCATGTATCAACTCACGAATTCATAACAGGGACGTATCCAGCGGAGGGGGGGGGGGGCGGTGTGGGAGCCGCGGCTCCCACTTTGTACATGGTAGTTATATTTTAAAACTTGTTTTTGCTATAGCCAATACAAATTCTTTGATTTGTTATAACTCATTCTGTTGACCTACGCTGTGTGATAGTCAACTCCGAGGACGACGTGTCACTTCTATGCGATTACAAACAAAACAAATAAAATTAAAAAAAACACGGAGTTTTTTTGATGATTTAAATGCTGTACAATTTTTAATTGACTCCTACTATATTTGTGACCCATGCTCTGGTAGAAACCCATATAATAATAAACGTATATTAATATGCGATAGAGTATAAACGATGATACAAAATAGGACATTTTCGGGATTATCAATTCAATCAATCAATATATTCAAAATTACCTCCAAAATGGAGAGTACCGTATAAAAAAGCAAAACAAAACATCAATACACATTAAAATACATATTAAAATACGTTAACACTTAAAATCATGTGGTTAGGAATTAGTAATTGACAGTAACAATAACAATTATATAAAATCAATATATACCGTATAATAGGCCTCTATATATATATACATATATATATACATATATATATATATAGTAATAAAACGGTTGAATTATAGGCCTAGATCTGTCTCTTATACACATCTAGATGTGTATAAGAGACAGTATATATATATATAATAGAATTATTATTGTTATTTATGTCACAATGTATACCGTAATTAATTAAAAATCAATCACAGGGAGGATAGACAACATACGGTACGGTGCGTTGATTCTTATAAACTTATTAAAAGGCATAGGGCCTATAAAATTTTATTATATTTTGTTATCCCAAAATTACACTAAAACGAAAACTTACCGTATTATTTTAATTACTTTTTAATTAATTAATTATTATTTCTTTGTTATAACGAATGCTATAAAGGAAATCAAAGAAAACGGTTCTTTAATGGAGTGGGTGGCCTAGTTGTAGACCTAAAGAAACTTACGAACACACTTTGATACACCTAAAAAGAAAGTCAAAAATAGCCACTAAGCGCTGAAAGATTGAAAATGAATGCGGGGTCGGAAGAGCAGCAACGACATGAGTGGTGTGAATTTCAAATCAAACAGCGTTGGAAGTGGAAAATGAACTAAAGAAAAGTACTGAAAAAATTTATTTTCTGTGATTTAAATATAATATCTTAAATTTTTACATATAAACCTGTAATCTACTCTGCCGTGATTCGGGAAAAAAGCAATTTATCCATTTTTAAAGTTTTGGCTTACGGCACCCTGTGAATTTAATCTATCATGGGAAGTGATCATATAGGCCTACTCCAAACAATTTTTAGAAATATGAAATTATTATTATGCATATTAATTTAGCTGGTGGAGGTACACTACCGGTAATACAAAGTTTGGTTATGGTCAGAGTACAATTTTTGAAAGAATTGCATTATTATTTTTCTTGTGGTCAAAGGATGAATTTTAGAACCATTATTAGGTTAAACTTTCCACGTCGGCGCGTACAACTACAAACATCATTTTTTGGAAGTTGGATCTAACATGTGTATAATAATGTTGATAAACAATCAGAATTTTCTGTACTATGCTATTAAACATTTAAAGGATGGAGAACATAAAACAAAATTCCCACGTCGGGGCATGCATGAAACGTAATTTCCTATTTGAGATTGACAGTCAATAAATTCTCTGTACCCATGCTAAACATTAGAAGAGTGGACTTCCTTATGGTTTAAGGCCTAAGGAAATATAAATTTATATGGGTCGGAACTTTGATTGTGACAAAGTGTTTTTCCTTATGTTGTGGTCATATTAAATGTACATTAAAGACTATTCAACAAACAACATGAAAAATAATCAACATTTTAGGTTAAACTTTCCACTTCCGTGTATAAAGTAAATTTCACCACAGTCGAGAATGTACTGATCATATAAAGTGTACACAGTTACAATTGTTCGATAGTGTTAATTAATCTTGCACAGGAGCTTGTCATCACCTAGCTACCATAGGCGTAAATCCCGGGCGGGTGGGGGATATATTCCCCCAATATGGATGGTCTATTGTATCATCCCCCAATATTTTGACTATGTATGGGATAAAATTGAGCTTTACACACTTCAAAAGACTGTCACAGAAATAATTTGCAATGTCTTATGTGCTTACAAAGATGAAAATTAGCATAATGTATTAATGTTGATAACAAAATTATTTTATCTGGTACCAATCTAAGCTCTTCTTTCCTTAGATGTTAGATGTGCATTTTCACACTGAAGGGTGTGTACGACATCAGTAATTTTATGTCAATACCAAGAATTTTCAATCATCTCCCCCAATGAAAAATACTGTTCTACGCCACTGCTAGCTAGGTTCCTCCTCCTCCTCCTTATCATTTATTTTATTTCAACTTTATTTCACGAGGGTAGCTCTAACAGCTGCACTACAGTAGTACAGCTGACTTGAAGAGGCCCTCATCATCATCAACTTCATAATTTTTCTGTATTAATTTCCAGTAAAGTGGGGAGAACTATGAATTCAGAGTGTATTCATTCATTAATAGACGTCGAAGGTGCATTGAAAACAAAAACTTTCTAAAGGAGACCCCCAAGACTCCATGTCTAAAATCTGTCTTCCAGCTAAGGAACAAGCAAATATTACGTTCCCTTCTCATAGCCCCGCCCAATCTGGGACCTCATCTGTGCGATAGTCAGGGTAAATTCTGGATCAGTGCCTGAGAGGTCAATTATTCTACCAGTTTTCTGCCCTCAGCCCCAACCATGGTGGGACTGAAGTGGTGAGGACTTTCACGCAATCCCTACCGCCAAATTCTGCATCCGCCCCTGTGTCAAACCAACGGCTTCAACTCACTGACAGAAATATCAGCAGAACTGGGCTAATTAGAATTTCTTTTTGTCTAATAGGCCTATAACCTATGTCTATTTGACCTATTTATAACATTCTCGTATCTTTGTGTTTGGAACATGACAATACAAAATAAATATATTCCAGAGTGGCTCAGATGTAAGGACAATGTACAGACGTGACAGGCTCCTCCGAATTTGTCTTAGACATCGGAGCAGTGTAGTGTAGCAGGGGTGGCGCGAGGATTTGCCCGGGGGGGGACGGAATGGGAGTGGCCGAGGTCTCCGACCGGGGAGGGGCCGACGTCCCCGTCGAGGGGTAGATTTCCCAAACAAAAGCAAAGTGGGCGTGGTAGAGCTTCGATTAAATCGTTTCGAAAATGGTCCAAAAATCAGTAACTTCTTTGCTCTAAGCCTCCAATGATTGTGCCTGCATCAAGGGTCATCCATCCCCGGTCCACACACAAGTTTTGCGAGCCGGATCATTCTATCGTTTGTGTTGAACTTAGATTTAACAATGAACATAGGAATATTCTAAAATAAAGCAACGTTTACAGGTAGGTCTACATAGTAATTAATTACCATGGTTAAATGAACGAACCTTTCCGCTAAAGCTCCGCCCCTTGGATATTGTTGCTAAGGTCCCACTTGACGATACTTGCAATTTGTGAGACGCGCGCGTATTCTTAGCTCTGTTCTGATTGGCCAATTGTTAAATTTGATTGACACTCTGGAAAGAAAAGTTCTATTCTTTGGCTAACAAAAGGGTGTGGGCTAAAGACGACGGCGTGGCGGTGACGATTTAACAGACTAAACACAACTCGGGACCACTGCGGAAAGTCACTAATATTAAAGAATAATTTGATAATGAACAAAGAAATGTCATATTGTAACCGTAGACGGTATCGAACATCTTGTCCATATCGCCAGGAATCTTTAAGGCGCGTGGACTCATTAAAAGATAACAGAATATTTTCAATATATGGATGACTAATAAAGCAAGATGATCGTACAGTCGTTGAATTATAGGCCTAGATGGAAAAAGTTGTGATGATGCATGACTAACTAAAACACTGAAAATCATATAAAAACATATGAAAATCGTACAGAATTGTTAATTGTTGCACCCGAAACTGTATACAGCAAGCATACTGTTGTAGGCCGACACCTGGTCTACTGTACTGTTCTTTACGACACTTGCCTCTAGTTGGCGCACTTGTAATTATGAAAAGTTGAAGTATACAGTCTATAATAATGAAGCCGTATTTTCAATTGTACACCTTTTATTAGGCCTATCTCTATCAATAATTGTACGAATGACAACATTAATGAAAATATCACTTATATTATTACCTCTGCCTATTATTATTTGAAAATACACAATAAATAATTAAAATACCCTGTCTAAATTACAGGGTATTTTAATTATTACCACTACCCTTTACAATGAAATTAAATATAATAAATAATGATAACACCTTTTATCCCGGACTTCTAGCCATTATACATTAGACGATTAAACAACCACGTTGTGATTATAGAGATAAATACGTTGGAAATTATTAAACGAATAAACTCGTTTAATATTGAACTGGTCTGAAATAAAAATAAATTTTAACATTCTAATCTTTATAATACAACATATTTCGCAGTTACATATTTGTAATGGCTATTTTAAATTCAAACTATTTTCTGGAACTTGCTAGGTTTCTGATGGACTTCTGGATATTTTATTTTGTTTTATTTCAGTGGGCCCTAACATCAAATGCAAACAAAAAACTCAACAGTATACAACATTTCAGAAAAACAGTAGTTTCTATTAATCTTTAGTCTGTGTACAAATACTTGTTTTTGTTTTTATCACGAGGCCTAATTAATATAATGGCGTAAGCTGTAGGAGGGGGGAGGGGTTGCCAACGCACCTCCTATGGTGGCAAATTCGTTCCACTTAAGTCGGGTTGAAATACTAAAAATGACCATTATGTTTTCACTGAAATAGGGATTTAGTTCAATTCCGCATTCTTAATTTTCGCAGTGGTGCACCTATCCCCACCTATGCATGGTCCCGATACCAGCTTTCTTTAATAATAATTAATCGATTCTATTTTTAAATTCTTGAATTCTAAACAAAACTATCTTACATCCTCCAGTGGCGATGCCGGGGGAGGTGGGAGAGAGAAGGATGTCAAGGGTTCCGTTATAGCCCGTCGTCAACGTGTCATCACATACAGTAACACAATATAACTGACCCAGTTGGTTTTTCCGAGGCACGCGCACAAGGGGATTCCCTAGACCTGCCGTCCGTCTTCGTCTAGCACCCTAAAAAAATATTTTGTTTGGTAGCCGCCCCAGAGTGCAAAGGACGTGGGTACGGTAGCAATACCTTTGCAATAACTTTCAGCTCACACGCGGCGCTGCTACTAGCAGTGCCGCGTGTGAGCTGAAAGTTATTGCAAAGTTCCAACGTTACATAAAGCAAGCTTAATTTCAAGTTGCACGCGATAGCCTAATATAATATAATATTTATTGACATTACACTTTTACACCAGTGGCAGCACACAAGAAAGTGGTGTAGTCAAACTTAAACTAATGAACAAAGAGTAAAACAACAACTTGTTTTTTCATATCTATTCTGACGTCCACTTTAAGTATTTTAGCTACAGCTAACAAATCATTTTTTCTTAAATCGTTAAAATCATCCACTGTAGGATTTTCCATAAATTTCTCAATATCAGCCATGTTGACTGCCGCCATAATTACAGGCTATGCACTTAAAATGAATAGATAATTTAATATCAAAAATTAAAACAACATAATAATAATCTGAACGTTATTTATCTTGTCTGGAAAGCATTAGTTAATTAATTAATTAATTAATGGATAATACAAAATTGAAAATTAAAACGGCATATACAATTAAAACTTAACGTCAGTTATCTTGACTTGTAAGCAGTTCTGTTTCTCTTACTTGAACTGTCTTGATCCAAGTCTTGACTAAATCAGTTCTGCTCCGTCTTGGTCCTGGTCTGATCCTGGTACCTTGACTTTACTGTTCCTTCAATCATCCGTGTATCACAATTCTTTCCCTCCTTGCCCTTTAGTAGGTTTTATTTGAACAGTTGGTTTACTATCAGATCAAATTTTCTTTTAACATATTCAAATTTCGTTTTCTTTCAGCTTTTCTTTCTCAGTTGATTGATTCCAATTAACTTCTTATTATTTAGTTCTCTTCTCATGGGTTACCGTACAGCTTCAGTAATGATACAGTTACAAAATATCAGTTGACAAAAGGAAATCAGTTAAAAATACAAGTTGATAAAACAAAATCACGATCACCTGGTCATTTCTTCCTGGTTACCGTCGAGTTGGTTTTTTTTTTTTTTTTTTTGTTCGTTTTTTTTTTTTTTTTTTTTTTTAAACTTTTGCTAGTTGAGATTTATTTTCCCCGACGAGCCCCCAAATTTCTGTTACGGCCGAAATTCGCCTGGTTCACTCACTCATTTCTACAGCAACGTCACAGCATTACTCATGACAATATAACAATAAACTCGAACGACTGCCTTTATATTTCTATGTATCTTTAACAGGTACATATATACACACACACACACACACACATGCATATATGTTATACATATATACAAAGCGTTATAAAGGTATATAAAAGAAATTAAATTTAAAAAACAAAGAACAAAATGAATTTTATCATCAATATCAGATTCTGAGAAAGCATTCCAAGTTGCAGTCTCACTGCAAAGTTCAAGGTCTTGTTTTAAAATAGCTAATTCTGCCTCTCTGATTCTGCCTAGTTGACGGCGGTTGTGCAGTAGCTGATAGATACAGATACAGATCAAGACAATCTAAATTAAATCCTGCAGTGATTCATAACCGTCATGAGCTCGGGAAAAAGGAGGAGCAAAGTAAAAGGTACGTAGGTAGGACGGGAGGTAGGAAAGATAGAGTGGTTTTGGCCTACAAACCTGTTGTAACAACTGCTAGCTAGGCAGCCAAGGGTTAACGAGACTTGCTCACTTGGTAAAATACGGAACGCCATGCCACTGCCTGATTGAGTTCATCGCATGTACAAACAGAAACCTTAATTTTTTTCTCAGGGTCCACTTATTTGTGTTTAAAGATTAATATTAATTTTCATAATTTTTTATTTTACTAATGTATGAATTATATTATAATATTGCTATTTTTACTGTCTTTAGGCAGGAAGGGAAATTTTGTAATAGATGAGACATAATAATCGGACTTTGTTCGAACAGGCTTGTTGGAGCGTTTGAATGGCGGCGAGACTGTAATAGTAGCTGAGGGGTACCTCTTTCTGTTTGAACGCAGAGGTCTATTGAAAGCGGGAGCATATGTGCCAGAGGTAATCTTGGAACATCCCGACTTGGTCCGCCAGCAGTATTGGGAGTTTGTACATGCCGGTAGTGATGTTGTCCTGGCTTTTACTGTAAGTTTTAGGGGGACACTTTCGGGACCAAAAAAAGTCTCCATAAAATAGGGACGTGTCCCATGAATCATGGAGTTATAATTATGCATGAATAGGGGTTGGCCTTAGTGTTAAAAGATGTACTTCCCCTCATTTAGTTAGAAAAAAGTGTTTTCTTAATGGGGGGTGTCCCCTTAATGGCATATCCCGTTAATAGGTGTGTCCGGAAGGAGGGGGTCCTACTGTATTTTTATTGTTTTTCAAATACAGTATGTATAGAACTGTTTATTTAAAATCTCCTATGTAAAACATCTGTTAATATAATACATAAAATCTTTTTTGCAGAGAATAAACATTTTAATATAACTAGTCCTAGGTGCTTTGTTATACAATTCAAATAAAAAAATGTAATATTAATTAAATAATTATTAATACTATTTCTCCCTCAGTATTATGCCCACCGTGAAAAAATGCGGCTTATAGGACGTGAGAAAGATGTAGAGAAGATGAATAGAATTGCGCTGAAGTTGGCGAGGGAGGTTGCAAACGAGACAGGCACACTGATGGCGGGAAATATCTGTAACACAAATCTATATAAACCGGACGATCCCTCATGGAACGACAAGATCATGAACATCTTCAAGGTGTGATTATAAATCTTGGCATTTTTTTTTATATTGAATGAATACGGTGGTATGGCAGGATTATGAAAATGACTTAAAAGGATCTTTAACACGACTGCCAGACCTTTTTTTAAGTTTCCTTTCCGTGTGCCAAAACAAGTTTACATGTACAAACATGCTTTTTTTGACATTTTACCTAGTCGTATATCATCAAAATGACGTTGCTAATAAAATGGCGGGAAAACATTAAGGGGGGGGGGGCGAGTAAACTCGTTGACAGCACTGCGATAGCCCTTTTAATTCATTGACTATGCCAAGTTTGTGCATGGGTTGGTATGTTGAAAGGGTGCCCCCACTGTGCCGCTCGAGTGTACTACCGGCAACATAACACAACAAACAATCATACGTTATTTGTACATTATTGTCTAGGTGTATCTTTCCCAAGCTACTAGCCATTGAGGAGTCTGTGGTTCTGCAATGTATAACAAAGACGTTATGAACGCTAGAATGCTACCCTAATTTTGACAAGTATACTCGTCCCTGGTGCCCTCAGCAACACCCTGTGGGCGAGTATACTTGTCGCTGGCAGCGGACTGATAGTGTTTTCATGATTAATGTTGCAGGGGTCTCAAGTTGAAAGAAGTCACTTTCAAGAGATCTGTTGAAAATTGAGCTTTCTTAACACATGTAATTTTATTTTGCTGCGCATGGTGGTAACCATCGTCACTGACTTCTGTGAGACAATTGATAGTAAAGTAGTAAAACAGCATTGTGAATTTGATGTGTTTTGGGAGGCATGATCAAGGGTGGCACTAGAATTTGCCCGAAGGGGGTGTCCGAGGTCCCCGACAAAGGGCCCATTTCCCGATGGGAGCAAAGTGGCCGTGGGTGTAGAAAATGCATATAATTTTTTTTTCTCCCCGACGAATTGTACCCTGTGCAGAGCGCTGTCCAAACCCCAGAAGACTCTACTTGTAGGAGTCAAGACCCCTGATGTTGGAAATAATTTACATCATCTTCAGGCATCTTCTCCAAGTAGGATATGAGAATAAAATACGAAATTCACATATAAGTATACTTTGGTATGTGTTATAATGAAGGTTCTTTTTCATTATAAGGAACAAATTGAGTGGGCTGTAGAGGAAGGGGCAGACTATATTTTGTCTGAAACATGTGGTGATATTGGTGAGGCTGTGTTGTCGGTGAAAGCAATCAAGAAATATGCTCCAGGTATTTGAATTAAGAAATCTTGAAGCTGCGATGGCAGACATATCTTAACCCAATAGGAGACATTTTGCAACCGCTATATTTTATAACCCAGTGGGCCCAATCATTTCATCAAAAACTGCTTTGAAAAAATATTAATTTTTTCTGTATTTTTCATTTCTGGGCTTTAGTGTTTATGTATATAATCTACTATGGTGAGGGCTAAAGTGGATGTGAACCCTCTCAGGGACCTTGGGCCATCTTCGTCAGGGATCTAGAATCTAGCCCCCCCACCCCAATTAAAGATGGATTTTAGAGTAATTGAACTACATTTTAAGACTTGCTCTTATGTTTCATCCATGTTGATATATCCTGTATACATATTCCAGGTCTACCAGCTGTTGCCACAATTCCTATATACCAGAATGTCATCGATGGAGAAGTAGCCACGCTAGATAACATAAAGCTCAGCAATGCAGTCAAAATGCTTGAAGATGCCGGAGCTGATGTCATTGGTCTGAACTGTGCTCGTGGCCCAGAAATGACAATGAAAATTATGGATATTGTCAAAGAGAATTGCAAGGTAAATGAACTAATATTAATGAACTGTAGGAGTGATGTTTTGCCCTACCTGACGTGTAATCGTACTGAATACTCAGTACGTCCCCAAATACTAGCGAAAAAATTTGCAAGTGATTCGGGTGGGAATCGAACCTACAACCTTCAGGTATCTAGCCTGATGTCTTAACGAATAGACCACCGAGCTTGCACTTGGTGACTAGTGATGAATTCGATCCCCTAGTAGCAGCGGGTACTGCAAGTGTTATTAGGATATGAGTTTGTGTCAGGAAATTATCATAGGAGTGATGTTTTGTTAATGAACTGATTGTAAAACATTTTACAATTTTACAGAGTCTATTGAAAAATTGGCAATAGCCATTTTAAAAATTTGTTATGAAACATTTTACAACATATTAAAGAATTAAAGGGAAGAAAATGCTTTCTGTTTTAGGTCTGACGTGTCATGACTGAAAAGGGGCCCCTTGATTTTCTGCTGATGCTGCGACTGCATTGCAGACCATATTTCATTGGTTCTACTTTCTACTGACCAGATTATTTATACATTTTCATGTCTGTCATTGGTCATAACAGTTTTAATGGTTCTATGCTAATTTCAGGTCTCTAATTAAATTAAACAGGTTTATAAATTGTATGTTAATTTATAGAAACCGGTGGCTGCTGTACCTGTGCCCTATCGTACCACTGACGAACAACCAAACATGCAACTTTTAACCGATCCAAAAACAGGTAGGTATAGACCAGAATAAACATGTATTATACAGTCAACTCTCCCAATACCGACCACCCAGAAAACCGGTTGTTTTTTAAAGTCCCAAAATTATTCCTATTCTTACTGTATTAAAATATTTTCTGAAAACCGGATCTCCCAATTCTGTATTCCGGCCAAATTCTTAAGTCCGGAACAATAAAATTACCTTCTGAAAACTGGACGGCCAGTTTAAAATGATGATTTATTGACAAAATATGTTGAATAAATCATCAGAGACACATCGACTGACTCCAAATAACAACTATCAATCACAGAACAACACCACATGTAGGATCGTTAGTGTTGATCGTGTGACACACCGATAGCACATTAATTGCAATAAGCCTAGATTTCATTTGTTTAATAAACTGATAAAAAAAAGTTCATGAGTGTGTTTTCTTTATTAAGGAACGTATCCTTTTCTCACATTTTGCATTCATTCTCACGCTAAGGCAAACCAAGCGGTCCTAACATAAGGCTATCGATTTCATAAAAATAATTGCGCATGATACTTTGACTGTCACTTCTGACTGTTTTCTATTGGCTGACGCAGTTTAGGGGGCGCTGCATAAGTTAGCACTTATTTTTAGAATTCAGTGACCCACCAAGGTTATGCCAGCGGCATCGAAACCAATCAAGCGTGCAACCACGTTGAAGCGAAGCAGATTATGGCGATCGAACGAAAAATAACACTGACACTTATTATAAATTAAGTTAGACATTGTGTAAATTTTTATTGATAATAGACTTGGACACAAAAAAAATAGGTACGTACAACATAAATAATGTAAAAATAAAGTAAAACATGAATTTTAAATGATGTTATCTCAGGTCAGTAGGCCTACACAGTACATGATGCAGAGTGGTGTACCTATCTGTTGTACCTTGCTAGACCTAAGCTTATTATCGACTCAAGGTCGGGGATCCAAGGTAGGTAAACATGACGTTCTCAAAACCGGTCAAAGTAGACGGTCCGAAGGGTGGTCCGTATTGGGAGAGTTGACTGTAGTAGGTATAGACCAAATAGCTTGAGGGGAGTAAAGCCCTGATTTCTCTGTGCAGCATCAAATGTTTTTTAAGAAGTTTATTATGTTGGTTAATACTAAATAATCATCTTCATAATTTTATCACAGGAAAGCGTTTGTTCCCGGAAAATTTGGACTGTGCCTTCTGTACTCGATCGGAAATCTATGAGTTTGGAAAACGCTGTAAACAGATGGGCATTGGGTATGTTGGTATATGCTGTGGAAATTCCCCTCATTACACCAGAGCTTTGGCGGAAAGCGTGGGACATACACCACCCGCTTCTAGGTACACAACTGACTTGAGTCAGCATTTTATGCTTGGGAACGATGATTCGCTTAACAAGCACTACACCAAGGATGTGAAGACTTTGATAACCATTGAATAGTGGTTTATGCCACATTGATATCAATGTTCCAAATACATATGTATATATTAAGTATATACTGAACTGTTTCTTGATTGAATAAATTATTTTTGATTAAAAACAGTTTTGTTGTCAATATACAAGCACTACACCAAGGATGTGAAGACTTTGATAACCATTGAATAGTGGTTTATGCCACATTGATATCAATGTTCCAAATACATATGTATATATTAAGTATATACTGAACTGTTTCTTGATTGAATAAATTATTTTTGATTAAAAACAGTTTTGTTGTCAATATGAATACTGTACTGTAGTGTATCAGAACTGTTTTTAATAGTGGTTTATGCCACATATATATACTGTAATTATTTCAGGGAGGAACACATTTTAATATTTGAAATTTATATCAATATATAATATATATTGAACTGTTTCTTTGATTGAATAAATTATTTTTTTTATTAAAAAGAGTTTTGTTGTCAGTATGAATACTATACTGTAGAGTATCACAACAGTTTCTAGTGGTAGATCCAGGAGTTCGAAATAGAGGTGACCCAGGTAGACGCTTCCACAGACAGAGGGTCTAAACCACCTCAGCCCCACCATGGTTGGGGCTAAGGTAAGACAATTTATGATTATGGCACCTTACCTCATCGCCGGAAATGGCACTCTCGGACCTAAATTTATAATTTTCCTTTTTTCTCCTAAAAGAATAGAGTATATAGGTCAAAATGCAAATCCTTTTAAGTATATTAAATGAGGTCAGTCACTAAGTATTAGATCAATTGAATTTCACCAATCAGCATCTAAGTGACTATCATCAAACTTCCTCTGGTCTGGGAGTCACTCATGTGTCAAAACTCTTTGCAGTGAAGGATCCAGGAATTTGAAATAGGAGGACCAAGAAGGGACATTCACAAATGGAAAATTTATGATTATGGTACCTCTAGATCATTTTTTTTTAGAATTTTTTAAATATTTAGTGGCAAGAGGGCCCCTTGAATTGTGAAGTACTAACAGCTGTTACTGATTACATTCAAGGCAAATCATCATGTTTTAGCAGTCTATGGGAGTGTACAGTAGCTGTATTTTTCACTACTCAAGGGTGGATCCACGATTTTTCGATAGTGGAGGAAGCTACCAACAATTTCATATGGTTTAATCAACCGGACATGCACCGTGGCTGGACCAATTATTAAAATACAGTATGCCCCACCAGATACCTGGCAATGGCTGTAAAAATATTATTTCAGGGCAGTGTTCCCCAACCAAGTGACTGGCTCCTTTCCCAACTGTGGTTTGGGGATTAGGGTATGAAAACTACTACAGTATATTATTTCTAGTTCACTGACAAAGAACAATGATGTTCCTTTTGCAAATAGTTTTGTTGCTACCTTATTGACAATACAGAAGAATTTGTTTTCAAACCAAATCAGACAAACCAGCTTTGTATAGTTGTGCCGACCATGTATGCATACTGTACAATTGCTGTTTGTTAAAATCTCTGATTCAAACATGACAATTATAAAAAAAAATATGCAAATTGCAGTATTCTATAGATGTTTAATGATGTGAAAAAATAAATACAATGTTCATAGCAAAAAAGAAGCATCAGAAATATTTTCAAACTTGGTTTTATTATATAAACAAATTTCAATCTAAACGCTACTTTACCCTTGGAAAAAGGCTCGAGATTTAGTTCTCTTTTAAACATCACAATTATGTTCATGAATGTTTAAACTATGAAGAAAAAAAATGAATCTATAAATATAAACAATAAGGCAATTTGTTATTCAATTTAGAACTCTATTCAAAATAAATTTCAATTACCTGCAGACTACAGCATAACATCAATGATTAATATATTGTATTCAATCTGAGTAAACAGATAAAATCAATTTTGTGTTAAGCATTAAAACAAAAGCTCTTCTACGTTTCTTTCCATAGTATTTCCTAGATAATTTATAAAAGCGACTAGGAAGGTGGGCGACGGATATTATTTTATAAATATAAATAAAAAGCTACTAGATTTTACTGCATATCATTTATGTTATCAAAATTTGGATTACAATTATATAATCATTTTCTTTAACAGATGTACACAAATTGACAGATTTGGTAGTAAGAATACATAATATTTAATGATGTTTTATATAGCCTGGGCACACAATGCATTGGCTGATGATCATCGGCGTGATTCCATGAAAAGTACAATGCGCTGAGGTGCATGGGATGGATAGTTTTTGATCTGCTTAGACTGCCACCTACCAGTGGCGAATCCAGGATGTTTATGATCTGAGCGGGCATGACATATGGTCCAAGGGGTTTGCAGTGTTTCTTACTTATTGGGGGTCTGGAGTTTTGGTCATTTTATTCTCTTATCTCAATGATTTCATTCTTGGTTAGACTTTTTAGCTGCTGCTGGTGAGGGGAAGGTGGTGCTCCGTTCTTACCACCCTTGGATCTGTCACTGCCGGAGGTTGGCGTACATCACATTATCTAGTACTCACACAGGCGACTGACGCATTATGTGTTTAATTTTCTAATATGCTATATATATTGCCAATTGCAGCCAAGAGCATCAAGGTATGAGCCTGAGAGACAATGGAATAACATTTTATCATCAGCATCAATAAATTGACACAAACCATGGCATGTGATAATTAGTGGCTATTGGTTGTAAACATTAGAATTTAAACTTAACTGACCAACCAATCGGAACATACTATTCATTAGATTGGGGCCAAGAATATGTGCCATGCTAAAATCTATTGCTATTTTAGTTCTAATTAGTGATTAACCAAAGTGGTTTGATGTTTCCTTTTCAGGCAAAGATTGTAATAATAATGATTTTCCAATTAACAGTTTAAATGATTAAATCTGATTGAAAATGACAAAAATATTTTATAGAATTTAGGTTTACGTTGAATCATACTAAATTTCACAAGCTCAGTCATGGAATTGGTCAATTGATAGCAAATATTAAACAGATACTGTTTGACCATCAGCATCATTAATTAAATTAATTAATTATGTAATTAATTAATTCATTAACGATATTACTTCTGAAACAACTAAAAATCAAGATTCACTATTTTGATAGGTTGAGTTATACCCTTTCTATTTATCAACTTACAATAACCCCAACTACATAAAGATGGAACAGCTGTACTAATTGGTGGATGCGTATTTGTGAGGTCTCAACACAAAATGAGACTGCATCATAGTGAGGTCATATGAGGTATGCCATCGCAAAAACTGATGCTATATGTTAAACTGAGTAATTATCATAGGTATATGGCAGTATTGTATACTTTTGTTCAGAGGAGGCATAAGGCCAAAAAAAGTAAATTTTTGTGTTGGCCATGTTTTGGGAAATCCAAAAAAATTGGTAGGTCGGTAGGAAAACTTTTTTTTTTTTTACCCAAAATGTGTTTACGCTTAAAAAGTAGAAAATACACAAATAATACAACAATTTTGGATTTGCATCGCGTATCATGCACAAAAATAGGCCGGACCTTGGCCCCTTAGCCCAGTTGAAGGCTATTTCAGCCTTATTGGCTCATAAAAAAAATATTGTTCCTTGTAGTCAAAAAATGAATTTCGTAAAATTTTGGTCGGTCAGGCATGGCCAACACAATAATTTTTTTTATTTGGCCTAATACTTAAGAACTTAATAGTAATTCAACGCTATATGTTAAACAGAGGAGGCATAATGCTTAAGAACTTAATAATAAGTCAATTCTAGTAAATAATCGATCATTTTAAAGCTTACAAAGTGGAGAATAAGAATATATTAAAAAGTAATTTTTCAGTCACTGATGCTAGTTTTGAGATGGTAAGCATCTCAAACTAGGTCGAAGCAAAGTGTATTTTATGTATATTCTTTACTGTTGGTGGCACTATTTGTAAAGTTGAATTTAACTTTGAAACCAAATTTCTCAAAACTAGGTTCCCATATAAACTTCAAATGCTCAAACTCTAGATATATTCCTCCTGGGAAAGCCCTATAAATTGAAGCTGCTTATTTAATCTTACCAAAATAGTATAATACATACTCCTAGTATCGAAATGCACACCATCGAGTCAGGATTCAATATTAAGTATGTATTATACTATCTTATCTGAGATTAATCAGTGGACCTTTCGGTTTTTAATCTTACCAAATATGATATAAACTTATTTTCCAACCATGTGACTCATTTTGTGGCAAGACCTCACATTTACTGTTTAGTTAAGCCCCACCCAGTCTTTATTTTTTGTCTATAATCTAAGCCAGTTTCAGAAATTTTTCCAGTTCTTCATCCTCAACGGCAACTTCAAAAGCATCATAACCCTGTGAAAAGAAAAAATAACTTATAACTGATATCAATGTATTAATAAATATTTCATCATCATTTGATTCTTATATATTGTCAATGTAATAAAAATGGTCCATGTGATATTGAGAAAATATATTCATGCCTCCAACCCAACCATAACCGATTCATAGTGAGCAATACAAAAATATGGTTGGCTAGTAAAATCTGTTTGATGATTCAGAACTAAAAATTACCATGAAATATTTTCTTCATAATTTTGTTCAGTTTCATTTAGGTAGAATATACACCAAAATTTGACAAAAATATCAGTTTATACAAAAGGTCAACTGAATATGGATACTGTTTTTAAAAAAAGGGTGCCAACATCCCTACAATTTAAATTTCAATCATGAAATGTTCACTTATGTATAAGGTAGGTCAATGTGACTTTGCAGAACATGGCCAACGGCCAAACCATGCTTAGTTTAAAAAATAGGATTAGTTTAAGTATTACTTTCTTCTTACACAGTTTTAATACATATAGGGTACTATAGTGTTATGTCACGATACCATGTGATACTACTCCGTTGCTATTGTTGCAAAAAACGTTCAACCGGACGCCATTTTCTTCACTGACAAACCACTGATCCCAATTTCTAACATAATTATTAAGATGTTGTATCTTACTTACACATAACATTAACTATTACAGTAGAACCCATCCTTTGGGACATCCCTATTAAGTGGGACATCCCTATTAAGGGGGACACTTTTTTGGCCGAAAAATGAACAAAAGTATATCTTTTAACATTATGGTCAACCCCTATTAGGGGACATTTTTTTCGTCCCAAATGTGTCCCCCTTAATAGGGGTCCTACTGTATTTGTTAGCTGTCTCTTATACACATCTAGATGTGTATAAGAGACAGCCCACTTACCCCACAATATTCATCTCCATTACATAACTGAGGAGGGAGGGCTTTTGGGTCACCACATAATTCTCTCATACGCTTCTTACTTTCTTCATCAGCGGCTATATCAACCTTTTCGTAGGCAATTTTTTTGCCATCTAATATCATCTCTATCTTTTGTTGCTTTTTCTTCATCTACAATGAACAATAGATTTCCAAACAAAATTAATATTACTGTGCCATAGATGGTCCAATATGCACCACTTTCATATACTGTAATGGCTACTCTCAGGCCTGTAGCCGGGGAATCCTGGGGATTGGTCCCCCCCCCCTCGACAAAAAAACTCCTTGTGACTTGAGCAATTATATTACTATTATTGTAATATTATGGTAGTACAGTATTACAGTATTTGTAAGATTGATTTCTAGCAGAAAAAAAATTTTACTTTGTTGTTTTTACCATAAATAATAATGTTCAAATTGATTTAATTTCAGTGTTTTTTACAGTGCTTTGTTGACAACCGTCTTGAAATCCTGTGTTGAAAAGAAGTCATGATTATTATTACTTTCAAGGCCCTGCCTACTAGAACTCTCACTCCCTTGCATTGGATAATTCCAAAAATGTTTTTCATTTTAAATTGCAAGAAGTATTTAAATATATGCCATATACGATTTAAAAGTGCAAAAAGCTCCGGCCCCGGGCCCCTGGACTCCACACACTGAATCGCCCCTTGGATGGAGCTGGCTACGAGCCTTTTTAATTAACCGCTGCATCAACCATGTTTTTTGTTAAGTGCCACTCATCCCGATTCAGATCACAAACATAAGCATATCACATTTATTTATCACATACAATTTGATAGTGTGGACACAGCTTTTGATACTGTCCAACACTCAAACAGAGTCATAGTGGACATGTTGATGTGTGCTCATGTAAATGCAGCATATTACTCCTGTTGATTTCTTGTTTCTTGAAGATGTTTTGTTATAATAAAAAAAAAAAAAAATAACAGTTTTTTTTTTTTTATCATGGAAACTCATTTCAATCTTTTTACGAAGATTGGTCATTCCAAGAGGCTGTGTCTTTTAACTACTACAACAAACAAATTTTTGTGCGTGGGAAGTAAGGAAATGTAGCACTTGTTGGTTGACAGTATTGAATATGCATTGGAATGGTGATGGCGTGATTTGAGCAGAACAGGGCGAAGGAGATGAGTCGAACTTGCTGTAAAATGGAGATTCTGCATCCATTCCATCTGTCAGCAAGGGAATCCCATTCCAGAAATTGGATAATTTCAGTGACGCAACCATCAGGTGTCAAAGTGAAGTCATTACACACAACGCATGCTGCTCTTTTTTGCACCATTTCAATCTTGTTGGTTAGATCTTTTGTGTATGAGCCCCTGGCTGCAGAGGAAAGTTCAAGAGGTAATACCAGTGTTTTGTATTAGCAGTTATGCAAAATAAGGCCGAGACGGCGAGAGTTTGGTTTGCTTTAGATGAAATTTGATGAATATATAGGTGTAATTCGATATTATCAAGCCCATATTATATATATGGGCACAAATTTGTAACTTTGCAATTTCATAGTGTGGATAATAATGAATAATGGATGAAAACAAGGCATAAGCTCTACATGAAAGGTAAATGGGTGAATTACTAAAGAAGCAGGCTTTTGCATGAATAAATTGTACATGCTTCGCAGCTTTCAACGAAGTTAGTAGGTCATATACTGTAGTACTGCAGGCTACTTCCGGGATTCCCCAAGGCTAAGCGTCGAAACCAGGGATCGAAACCAAGGTGGAGAGCCTGGAATCGTGCTGAAAATAAAGAAGCCTGCCAGAACTTCCAACATCCCTATTTTCATAATGAGATGTGGCCAGAATATATGTCAATAAATGGCAAGCAATTGTAAACAATGAATGTATTATTCATTGCAATAACTGTAGCCTCGGTCAGGCCCTAGGAATAAAAGTGTAGTACGAAGTAGGCCCTCTCTAGTTAGCATACAAGGCATGAAATATACTCACATCCATTGAACTAGAAACACTCGAAAAATAATACTTTACAGCAGCCATATTGGTAAAAAATAAACTATTCTTAGCTTTTTAAAATAATTCTTAAGTCAATACGACAGAACTTGTTGTGGTTTATTATGCGATTCTCAGGGATTCGTTGGATACTTCCGGCCTGCTAGAAAGAAGGGCGTCAACAACAGATAGGTGATTTCCCACTGTGTTTTGTTTTAGTTTTAAAACCTCTCTTGGTGGAGGAACCTGGATATTGTTGCCACGTAATCAGACAATATCATGCCCAATTTGATACCGTATAAATCACATTCATAATAATTTTATATCGACAATTTTGTACTTAGTATAACATAACTTTTTAATAGTTTTTTTTTTCAAAGGAATACTGTATATTGTATTCGGTCACAGTTATTATTAAATCGTGATGCAGGGATGAGATTCTGATTCAAATCAAATGCAAATTAATGCATATGCATTTATCTTACAATTTTCAATTACAAAATAGAAGAAGCTTAAAGATCTTAGGCATATCATATAAGATCTTTGATCCTATGTCGTGCGCCTATTATGCAGTGTTGGCGCCAGCAGGGGGGAGGGGAATTTCCCCCTCCCCCGTCGGACAGACCTGGACCACCTGTTCTCCGATGCACGATTAGGTCATCGGATCAAAAATTTTAAAAACAATAATTTGCCTATCCAAATAACGTTATTTTGACTGCCAATCCCTAATATTTTGGTCTAAACCATATGTCTAAACGCACATTTTACCATTCTAAATCCATAAAAACTCTCCCCGTGAACCCTACAAGGGAGTTTTTCTGGCGCCGCCGCTGCTATCATGACGTTAAAAAACATCTTGGCCTATGTATAATTTTTTTTTACTATTGCGACCATTTTCTCTGGTGAAATGATTAAATAATTGGCCTAATAGTTTATATCCTTTTAATGAGCTTGTTGCAACGTTATTTAGTGGTGACATTGCGTTTAAATAATTTATGGTTTTAAACGTTTTGTTCCGAACTTGTATAGACGTCTACAGACTCCTTGCCTTTTATTTTTATAAATGAATTAATTATCTAATGTTTAACGTTCTTATTACATCCAATCTACAGAAAAAAAAACTATCAGCAGTTTATTGAGCGTATGGAGAACAATTAACACTTTGTATGGAATAATAGGCTATAGTGCTCTTATCTTGGAGGCCTTTTTCGCAACGGATTGGAAAAGATTACACTGCTAAATGACAAAATATGAACACATAGGCCTATTAAAACTAAACTTCCTAGAATGACCTTTGCATTGCAACAGTGGTACTCATTCAACAGAACGGAGACTTTCACCAGACTTGTAGCTATATATAGGCCTAACGGCGTTAAAATGATAAAACCACTCCTTCACTATCGTGGGCGTCCAGGCCCAAAGAAATATAAATATAAACAATTGTTCATAGTTACAACTATACAAAGGTGGTATACTCACTTCAAGATTACTTGATACACTGGAATAATAAAACTGAACCTTAGCCATATTTGCGACAAAATGTGCAAGAACGCAGTGATTTTCCTACGAAACCTCAGTGTGATTCAGAGACACGGTGACACAGCCAATATGTATAATTGTAGTTTTGTGGTATTGAAACACCGGTAGTTGTCGTCAAATGCCTGGATGCGTAGGCTTACTGCAACTGCGACCTTGGATTGTAATAATACTGTACTGTACTATAAAATATATTTTGTTACTTCTTGCTTGTGATCAACCAGCTGGAAAATTGGGAGGTCACACGCCACTATAATGCATGTAGGTGAATAAGGGAAATAACGCCAAACTTATCACAATTTACCGGGTGCCAGAAAAACTGTGATATATTATAGCTGAGATATTTTATTATTGAATGAAGGTTTTCAGCTGTGAAAATCACAGACCATTACGGAAGCAGCTTGCTGTATACCGTACTAACTTTGAATATGGTCCGTCGTTTCAGATTGATTTGCAAGCATGAGTAACATGCCTGCAGACGTTGCGATCGCGTACCCCCCACTAAATTGTATCAAGAAAAATAATTGTTGTATTATACTGTTGACATGAATTATTGGTAAGAATTATTTTAAGGTATGAGAGTGCAATTTCCAGGCACCCAGACGTCCATACTCAAAATTTTCGCACCTCAGCCCCAACTGAGGTGATGTGGACTCTCATGAACCCATGGGCGCAGATCAAGGGGTTTCCCCTCCACACATATTAGTAAGGGAGTTTCTCCCCTCACTTTTCGTCCGCAATGCAATTTCATAAGTCAAGAAGATGCCTAAATGTTGAAATAAACTGCATAAGTGACCCAGGTTGTAACAAATGAGTGCTGTACAGCCAGAGTACATCTTTACAGCAACATACCGGTATCTGTGGTTGTCCATTGTATCCATTGATTATTTTAATAATGTAATGTAGTTTCTAAACAAATTTAAGCAGTGCGCTATTTCAAATAAATACTAATACTGTACTACTAATACTAATATGTAATAAGTTACTTTGTGTGAAATTACGTCAAAAATACGTAATTTATGTTTTTTTGTTGTAAATAACCAAACTATAATCCTCTTATTATTTAAGTAAAATTACCTAGGTATTTAGTTTTAAATTAAATAAAATCAAAAGATAGAATATGAGGAGGCCTATAGAAGATTGATTTTGATTGATTTTCAGAAATAGAGATTTAGCTAGGAAATACGTAAGGCATCGCATAACCCAGGCCTACTTGATACCTAAAATTATAGATTTTATAATAATTTGCAATAAAACATTAAAGTTGCCTGTAATTCATCAGAAAGATTGTCAAGTGAGGAAAGATGTTGGGTTGTGTTCCATTGTCTCAGAATATTTTTCTTCGCCTGAAGTCCCATAGTTAGCTTTGCATTTCCATAGTCATGTAGGCCTAACAGATATAAAGATACGGAGCATGGTGACCAAACTTTTGTAGCTATACGGTGGTAAAATAGCAAAGCCATCCCCTCACTAAATGCGCGGACCCTCAGAAATACAAACATTTGGTCCTAGTTGTAACTTATAAAGGTATTATACTCACTTCCAAATTACCTGTTATACTGGAATAATAATACTGAACCTTAGCCATGGTGACAAAGCTAATGTGGTTGTGGAAGCACAGCACTGTAGTTTCATTACAGCAGGTATTAAAACACCGGCAGTTGTTATTCAAATGCCTGAATGCCAGTATTCAGCAACAAGCACAAGAATATATTATCCAAAGTAATTCGGATTTTAAGAATTAATTAAATACCATTCCTTGGAAAATACAAAGCAACTATCTGGAAAATTGGAGGCAAGAAGCTAATTCAAATCTTTCCGGATTACAATGTTATGTGGACAAATTAATTTTCAATGACACTAAAGGCGTGTTTGACGAAAAAGTCGGGAACGGCTAAAAAGATACAGATTTTTGAATATTTAAAAACTAGGGTAAAGCGGGGGAAATATTGTTGTTACACCACTTTTTCCCTAACCGTTTATATATTTTAATAGGCCTATAATATGTGGAAATACAGTAGGCATACTTGGTGGATATAAAATCGGCGAAATTACGCACAGAGTACCAATTTGTTTTTTTAATTATCGTATTGTTGACGGCCATTTTTCTTGCAAATTCGAAGCTTTTTTTTCCGGTTACGTGTGATAGCCGAGACAAATATATAAAAAATTATATACTATATAGTTGTTTCTGGTGAGGTAACATAACATAACATGCACAGGAGTAAATATCAAAATACTGCAAAACAAATTCTTCATTTTACATGACACAGCATTGTAGTACAAGAACAGCACTTATTCAGGCAATCAGTTTAATGCGCTTACATTATTTTTGTAAAATTCAAGACTATCACGTTTTATTACCATATATTTATTTACATAGCACTTTTCTTCCTATCATTAAGTTATGCAATAAATAGTATGCAATCATACAAAATACATTGACCAATGCCATAGCCAGCTATTAGGACACTTGGGACAGTCTTACACAAATTTTTCTATTGGGTCCATCCACAAAGAATGGGCTCACATTTTTAGAATTGGTCTAAATTATGCTGTTTTATGCACAAAATAGCTCAAGATTTCTCAATTGCGTAAAATGGGTCAACTGTTAAGGTAATGGTCCAGATTTTTTATATTTTTGCGTAAAATGGTTAAACTTTTAAGAAAATGTGTCCACATTATTTGAATTTACGCATAAAATGGATCCATCCTGATATTGTCCCACACTGTTTGAAAATCCTGGCTACGGCACTGACATTGACCACCATTTTGGGTCACGAACCATAGTTTGAATTGGAGGGGTCTAGACAGACAGACACTGATGTAAAAAAAAAGAAACAAGTAATCTATGCTTGATGTTAAGATGACAGTTTTATTGTAACAACACTTGCTAAGTTCAGCAATATTCAAACTGTATTAAGACTAATAGTACATGTTGTAGGTATTAAGACTAATAGTACATGTTGTAGCTACTTATCCAAAGCCTACCCAACCGAAGTACAGTTAAATTTGCTTAAGTCGACTTTGCCTAACTCAAATAATTTCTAAGGGGATCTTACTTACATGCCAAATTGTTGCGTTTTTCACTAATTAACAATCTGATCTAAGTTAAACAATTTTCCAATGCCATTTTAGATTCGACTTAGGCAAGTTCAACTGTATAGCTTTAATTTAATCATCATCATTAACAAACAAAAAAGTTGTCTTGCTTCTAAAAGATGAGGTACCAAAGCTCCCATGAGGATGAGTAACTACTATACACTTGGTATGCTAGACTCAAGAGGGCGATGTACCATGTGTCATATAATAGAGGGCAGTGCACATCTTTTGCAGTGCAGATAGCAAGTAACCTCTGAGACAAGTGCCTTGGGGAGCAATTACATCATCAGCAGGAAGTTCAAAATCTTTCAGTACTCACAACATAATTATTATAATCTTATAATGAAATGATAAACTGAATGCTACTAAAATACATAACAAGATACAGTCAGCTGGAATTATCATCTTTATCCAAGATAAAAGTCATAGTGAAAAATCATTATATTTATGCGTTAAGGAAATTTGAATGAATACACATATATAAAAGCATGTATTCCTTGACACACATAGGACCACAGGTGGTATGTAAAGAACCATAAGCTTCCTTTCATAGAAAATTCTTTTGTCCTGATGAGTAATTTCATAAATTGTGTGTTCACATCATTCACAGCTGATACAGGAGCCAACATTCTAGAAAAATACAAGCTCCCCAGTCATGTGACATATAGGATTGTATAATAACATGACTCATGTGTTTTAATATGCAAATTAATATTTATTAATTATTAATTCAGTTGTCAACGATTGTGGGGTTAATAGTAACACCCCTGCGGATCTGTCCCCATCCGATCAATCTGCAAGAACAAAATATAATCAACCTCCTTTAACGGATACAAGATATGGCAAGTTGGATGGCCAAGCGGTTAAGGCAGGGGTGCAATAAGAGGTTACTTTTATTAATTGGATCTATGTTCCTAATATTTAGATGATGACTACAGAACCTCTCTCCCAACATCACACTAAACCAATGAAAAAATATTCTATCAATCAGCAGAAGTCAATGAGAACAAATAATATCAATTGAAATAGCAAATGTGACCCTGCCAGTTTGCAAAAAATCTGAATTCTTACCTCCAATGTTTTTCCACCCTTCGGCTGAGGGCGATCTTCTCACCAATTTCTGTACACACTGGGTTTGTTAATACAATTTTAGCCAAATCAGCCCTGACAGCCAATACCCTTCCTCCTGTTGATAGGGAGCCAATGTTCACCATAAGTACTTCGTTTTTGGAAAGCTTTTGGACCTGAAGAAATCAACGACAAGAATTCACATTACATCTAGCTAATGATTCATTGACATTACGTAATTTAAAATACCTTTAAAATAACATTTGATTTTATATGTTCATAATCTACCATTAATTACTTTGCTGCAATATTGTTGATAACCTAATCACGTTTGCGAATGCTTAATTTTTAACAATAATAGCAGGCGAGGACACTACTGTCTCATTCTGTTTATTAACAACATTATAGACAGGCAAGTAAACCATATAAGTGATCACTTACTTTGGCACCTTTCTTATCGCCCTCTACCCGTACGCCAAGTAGCCTTCTCAGCAAGAAGTAAGAGATTTCCAATTCGGTGTATATATCCGGTAAAGCGTCCACTGCTCCAAGAACTTGACCGACAAGACGATCTGCTCTGCAGAGTGTAGGATCAATCTTTGTACCAACACCTGTTAAAAATAATATGCTGTAATAAACTACTAATTTACATTACAGGTGACCCTCTAAACATGTTATTAGTCACATTAGAATACAATCTGTGATCAATGATAGCTAATTGATCTATAATGAAGGATAAATGAGCGATCAAAGTGGGTGACTGATCTGTGATGAAAGATGGGTGATCTATCAGTGATGAAAGAAAGGTGATTGTTTGTGATGGGCAATGATTGGTGATCAAGCATGGATGATCAGTCTGATTAAGGATGCATAATTATGTGATTAAGAAAGGTGGTCAATGGATGGATGGGTGAGCGATCCATGATAAAAATATTGTCAAGCTTTGATAAATGATGGGTGATCTGTCTGTGATCGAAGAAGGGTGACTCTTTGTGGTGGGTGATCAAGGATAGATGATCAGTCTGTGATCTAGGATGCACCGTTACGTGATCAAGGAAGGTGGTCAATGGGTGATCACTGTGGACGGGTTATCATTGTGATCAAGGATGGGTGAGCAATCCATGATAAAAATGTTGTCAAGCTTTGATAAATGATGGGTGATCTGTCTGTGATCGAATAAAGGGTGACTCTTTGTGGTGGGTCATCAAGGATAGATGATCAGTCTGTGATCTAGGATGCACTGTTACATGATCAAGGAAGGTGGTCAATGGGTGATCATTGTGATGGGTTATCATTGTGATCAAGGGTGGGTGAGCGATCCATGATAAAAATGTTGTCAAGCTTTGATAAAGGAGGGGTAATTTATCTGGGAAGAAAGAAAGGTGATTCTTTGTGATGATTAGTGTGCGATCTGAGGAAGGTGGTCAATGGGTGATCATTGTGATAGGTTATCACTGTGATCAAGGATGGGTGAGTGATCCATAATAAAAATGTTGTCAAGCTTTGATAAAGGATGGGTAATTTATCTGGGATGAAAGAAAGGTGATTCCTTGTGATGGGTGATCAGTCTGTCATTCAGGATGCGGTATCATTTTGTGATCAAAGAAGGTCGTCAATGAGGGATCAAGAATGTGATATTCTGTAATCAAGGAATGTGGTCAAAGTATTTCTACAACTATTTACCCTCAATTATACCTTTTTCATTGTGATTATATGCTACAAGAATACTTACCAATTAAACCCCCTGGTACAGCATATTGTAGATCATTCTTCTCGGCAAATAGTGATATTATCCTAGAAAAGATAGGCTTGCATTGCAATTTGCCTTCTAAATCTTTTGACACGATTCCGGGCCTAACCTCAATTTCTTGTCCAACCTAATATTAAAATAAAAGAATTAAGAGTCAAACACAATACAAAGCAACAAATCCCACCATAATAATAATGATGATGATAATGATCACAACAATGAAAATGAAAATAACAGCAAATGCAACAACAACAAAAACAATAATAATAATAATAGTGATTAATATTTATACCTTTAGAACACCCTGCAATATACTGCCTCCAGCAACACCCCCTTGCAGATCTTCAACCTCGCATCCGGGTTTGTTTACATCAAACGATCGGATAACTATGAAAATAACAACATTTTGTTTTGTAAGTCAACTTTATATGCTAAAAAAAAAAAAAAATCAGACTTGTAATGAGATGAACAAGATGGTTTTAGTGTATTTTGTAATGCGGACAGTTCCATTATATTCATGAACTAAAATACTGTACAGTATTACAATGTTTTTAAATGCATTTATTGTCAACTGAATGCAATGAAATTATTCATTTGGGAATAGAGACAATGTTTTATATCTACATCATCACAATAGCTCTAATTATACTATTTATCTAAAATCACTCTTGTACAAAAGCACATGTGTATTTTATCCACCTAATCTATGTACCATAAATGCTCGAATAAGTGCCGCGGCGATTATTTTTGGAGGCTTCAGTTGGGCGGTTATTCAAGAACGGCGCTTATAAAAAATATTAGTGTGGTGCTTTCCATGGCCATTGCCATGCCACATATTTCACGTTTCAGGTCCCGTAGTCTGATGGTCTGTCATAGGTCCGTCATCGTAAATAAACGTTTATAAAGAAATGCTTGTGTCTTCATTGTGTTATTTATTCATTTGAACGCTGTATACATTGTATTTAAGACCCTGTGTCTCAGTGCTCCATTACACACACTGGGTAATAATATATACTCTCGATTAAGCGCAGCGGGTTGTGCTTATTCAAGCATTTATTGATTAAGCGCCGCGGCGCATATATTCGAGAGCAGTGCTTAAAAAAATCTTTGGTGCGGCACTTATTCGAGAGTTGTGCTTATTCAAGCATTTATGGTACACAAAAAAAATAATGAATACATAAAAGGTTAGAAATTAATCAATGAAAAAAAATACCCTAGTGGGAAAAAAAAAATGATTACTTACCAATGAGCCTGGGCTTTGACAAAAAATCTCGTGTTGGAACAGGTATTTTCTTTGTGATGTATTCGCAGATGACTTCAATGTTGTATTTAAGCTGCGCTGAAATTGGAATCACTGGAGCACCCTCTGCAACTGTACCTGAAATGATATCAACAGGCACTAGTAATAGAGGGTTCACAGCTTATAGCAATGGACCAATGTCGAAACAAGCGTGGCCCCTCACCATGACCAGATTGTCGTACAAAAAATATTAATTTGGCAATCCACACTACGTTATTTTGATCCCGAGCCCCTAATATTGTGGTTTAAAAGTACAATTTTTGGCCATCATAAACCATAAAATCATTCCTCACTAACCCCAAAGGGAATATTCTTCCAGGACCCTGACCAAGGTTCAAGGTACTCCTTGGTTCAAATCATCCATGGCCTAAGAAGAGGTGTGTCAGTACAGATTGGTCTACTAACCTTGCACAAACTTTAAGATTTGATCATACTGCTCTGTGGCCTGACTTTCCTTGACTAAATCAATTTTGTTTTGTAAGATAAGCACATGCTTAAGCTTCATGATCTCAATGGCTGCGAGATGCTCTGAGGTCTGAGGTTGAGGACATGGTTCATTTCCAGCTAAAAGATGCAAAACAGAGTATTTAATTCGAATATAATATAATTAAAGATAATAAATATAATAAGTTAAAGATATACGATATACAGTATATTGGGGTAATATTAAACTTAAACATTAAATTTCAATATTCAAAATGTGCTATTAACTTAATCAGAATTAAAAAAAATTGATATATATAGGCCTAAATAAATAATACTGTCTTTAATCCCTTACATATTCAATTAAATTGGATAATCCATTAAGAATTTTCTATAAATCAGGAAACTAACAATTCTTCTTTTAATCTGTGTCTGCATAAATGTTTTAAATTACATATATTATTAATTCTATTATTTTTTGTCCTCATTTCAAATTGGAAAATTGAAGCTGGGAATGACTAGAATGAAGAGGACACAAGGCTGCAACGGAGGCAACAAAAACAACATCAGTCTGAACATCATGCCAAGGCCTTTATGCACTTCACAATACTTTGCAGGTTCTTAAAATGAACACCTAGTATAGTCAGAGGCCTGGGGGAGTGTTTCACAATGTTAATGCTATTCATTCAAACAAGGTACCCCACTTGTACCCCTGAGTGGAGATGAAGTGTTTTTCTCAAGAACACAAGCATGCAGTCAGCTTGTTATTGAACTCACCAATTAATAGTAAAGCTGCATCCATGACTGCCGCTCCATTCAACATGGTTGCCATAAGAATGTCGTGACCGGGACAATCAACAAATGATACATGTCTATCAGAAGGAAAAAAGGTTATACAATATGAAACAATTAATAGCTTGCTCAAAAGACAATCAAATTATGTGTTGATTGTTTACCAAGAGGAAAAAAGGTTATACAACAAGGAAAAATGTATAGCTTACTCAAAAGACAACCAGATTATGTATTCATTGTTTACCTTTGTAGCCTGAAATTGCCTGTACAACCTTGCCTCTCACAGGGGAAAACATCTTCTTTATTGCTTCCTTTTGAACAGTAACAACCAGGCCTAGGACATGCTGGGTTATCACATTTGAAAATCTGTAAACAAAAACAGATGTAAAATATAAAGATCAATAACTGCATCTAGATATAAATAAACTAATACATGAGTTGTCATAAAACAAAAATAACAACTCCAAAATTCATTTAAAATTCAACTTGTCAGAGAGGAAGTTTGATGAGTAATGTATGACTATGAACATATTAATTTTTGTGTTTATACAACATTTAATCAGGTCTATTTTCAAACAGCGCCACCAACGTTTTGCAACTTTTCACTGGGGACATCCAGCCAGAGCACCTTGTTCGCAAATTTTTCTTCAGACATACGTCTTCTTTTGAGTACTTTTACAACTAAAAACACTGATGCTTTTATTTTCCATTTTTTTTTTGCTTTGGCATTTTGTTTAGGCTAGGCCTACAACAAGAAGGTCACAGCACAGATAAACACCGGTAACTAAGTAGAGCGAAATGCCTAGGCCTCTCGATGTCTTTATTGGTGGTAGCAAGGTTCTCGGAAATTTTCATTTCAAATTTAGCAAAAATGGGGTATAACCTACAGAATAGAAACCTTAGACCAACATAGTGCCCAGGGATGTAGCTGTAGAAGACTAAGGGTGGGTGATAAACATTTTAAGGGTGGTGGGTAGGTGATAACATTAATCAACTCTGAATAATAAGAGTGGATTTTAAGGATGGAAAAGTGGGTTAATAAGGGTGGGTGGAGGGCCATGAAATTAGCTTTAGACTGGGTGGAAAATGTCAAGGCTGGGTGGCCTCACACACCTCCACCCACCATAACTAAATCCCAGAGTACCTACCTTAGCATTCGCATAGCCTAGCTTAATTGTGATGTTTCTAACAAGTTCATTCTTGAAGCGGACAGTCTGTACACCTGAGATGGCTTTAACTAGGGTAGACTTTCCATGAGCCACATGCCCAATAGTACCTGAAAAATAAGTATCACAAAGAGGTCTGGTTAACATGATCTAAAATACTGACTGATGAATATATCTATACAATAGAGTGTTGTTGAAGGTGCCCTGAATAATTATTCTATTGACTGATATTACATACTAATTCTGATTCAATATCTGTAATGCACTTGTCAATTGTAGTCCTGGTCCCTCCCCCCCAGACCCGGGCCTAGCAGGGACTTAGCCGGGGATGTAATTTTCAAAACTGTTACATACTGTACATGTAAAAGTCCCCGCCAGCTACCAGCAGTGCGGGGCATCGTTTTAACGTATCCCCTGGCTAAGCCCACACCACTTACCGCCGTAGTCCCGGTAAAATACCCCGCTAATAAATGATTGGATAAGACCTACCTGAAGCAAGGAGGTATAAAAATGTAGTCTACGTCTAAATCGGAGAAGCACGCGAGAGCTAGGCAGGAGCTAGGCCAAGTAGATGAGCTTGCTTGATGGAAGCACTACGCATGCGTATCACTATGCAGCATGGAAGTTTGGAAAAGTGCGAACAAAAAGGAGACTGATTGATCATAGAAAAAGAAAATAATTTGTATAATAACTGATTGATGGAATTTAATTATTCAATATCAAAACAGAAATTAGGCCTAAATAAGAAAATGAATAAATTATTACAGTAGTAGAACAGGTTTCCTTGCCTTGGCTCACGTACTGGCATATTTTTGGTGCAACACACTACTCACACGTGCTGCCACCTCGGTCCTCAGCGTTGTGTTGTGAGGTTGGAGGTTCAATTTTAATTATGTAATTTATACCGTGATCTATAAAAAATGAAACCATTATGGTAGACCTATTTTTTAATTACCAAAACAGACAGTGTTCAGACAGTGACTGAATGCCAAGCCAGTGTAGGCTGGTAGGACCAGATCCGGTTTGACAGTGCTAGGCTAGGCCTACACACCCGAAACCTTGGCTACTCTACGTGTAAAAATCCGGACCCTTACGAGGCCTGTTACATCTATGGGTAAATTTTAGGTACGTGCCGGCACTACGAGGACATAACTATGTGTACATCCCCGCTATGGCCCGGGTCCGGGGGAGGGGGGCCGGGACTACAATTGACAAGTGCATAACATAGTGTACAGCATTCTCTCTGATCATTTCATGAAGACAGTTAGTAAAATGAGAAAGTATAATACATACTCCAAGTATTGAAATACACGCCATCGTGTTAGTAAAATGCTTGTTAATAATGATGTTGACAATATTATTAAATAATAATATTAATAAAAATATTAATTAAAGTAAGTACAAATCATTTACCATCACACTTTTTGCATCACACTGAGGATAAATGAAATTTTGTTGATCATTATATGATTATTATTTAGTGAACCACTTTCTTACCTATGTTTATTGTTGCTTGGCGACTAATGACCTCTGGAGACAATGGATTCAAAGACGCTTCATCCTACAAGTGAATAATTATGGCAATATAACTGACATATGGTGCAGATACAAACGTCACACATGGAGCATGGAGGTACTTACTGTGTGGTGGTGTAGTCTAGCCTAGCTGGCCTAGTAGGTAGAGTTAAAAACTATATAAATATAACAAATTCATTTATCATTGTAGGTCTTGATCACTCATCAAGTTAGCCAGTGTAGTATCTGTCTATTTAGCTTAGAACAGGGCATGTGTCAAAGCTAGGCCTGATACTGCCAACTACTTACGCTTTAACAGCTTGCCTAGCTAGGATCGGCTAGAAAAACCTGGGTCTTATCTTGTTACCATACAATTTCTTTTTAACGCTAGGCCTAGCCTAAAAAAGCCGACAACGCCAAACGCATTTTTACTTGGCAAAAATCAACCTCTCACCCTCACGATTAAGTAAATAATACTCTAATGTAGGATATCATTATTTTATATTGTTTGTTAGAGGTTCTTATTGAATACACTTACGAGATTTTCTAAATCTTGTTTGGCCAGATGCTTATTCAACGTGCTTTCGGCAGCCATTTTCAGTCAATTTAGCCGATGATGAAATATGAAAGCGCCCTCAGCGACAACAATACCAACATTGAACAGCGAATTATAATTTTATTTACAGTATTTTAATTTATTTCTTCCGGCATTATAATAGTACAAAGACAAGAACAATGCTGACCATCTCACAAGTAAGTCCCATTTAAATTAGCTGGGGGAACTTAGGGCCTCTGACCAGACCCTTGGGTAAATTTCTTCTCACTGGGACAGTCTGAGATTACGTAATGTAAAGTGCAGAATTCCCTATAAAAATACACAGGAATTTTCAAGGCAGTTATCAAGGAAGCTATTGTGAACAAAAAGTAAAGTTAATACATATTTAATCAGCTTTTTGGTTATTTCATGAGTCTGCTGATTAGTATAAAACTAAATAATGCATTAAACACATTCTGTTGTTTTTTTTTTTTTTTTTTTTTTTTTTTTTTTTTTTTTTTGTTGTTTTTTTTCAGTAGGGCCCTAGGCATCCGTGTCCTGTTTGTGTAATCATAACACTGTATGCGGTCTAGTTAATAGTATTTTCTTCTGCTAAGAATAATTTCGAAATGGTGTTGTATTTCATTGTATAACACTTTATTTCTCACTCACTTGAATCATAATAGCATATGGACTCATTCCAAATATTATAACTATCGTTCTATACGACTTCAGAAACTTTTTTCGATTGTGTTAACTCAGTGTTTCGATCATACCACTTACTTGTGTTTATTGGTAGGCCTAATATTTTTTAACAATTTGTGAATAACAACCTTTATGGCAAAAAAATTGCCAGAAACCAAATTTATTTATAAATGTCAAATCATCGTATTTAGCCATGTATCACTCTCACATACACTCTCATAATATCACTCTCATATACCGTACGTTACTATTTTTACACTAACCATTGTGAAATATTAGGCCTATGGAATGAAATTATGAGTAATATAAAGTTTATATTACACACTTTCAAACATTGTTATAAGAGCATCTTGTTTCGTTGTATAAATAATGTTATAAAATTGCAATAAAATATCATGTTCTCTAATCCTATAGACCAGCATCTTAAGTAATAATTTGTCGGCCAAGAGCTACAAAATTGTGTATTATGGCATATGTTTGTCTTTTTCTGTTGTATACAGTGTCTGCAGTATTTTTCTTATGATTCCCTTTTATCATGTGGATGTATGGTTTGCACTTGATGTCCATCCATAATGTATTATTTGCAATTGTCAGCTTATTTCATCGGCTAAGAGCTAATTTCTATCCATTTCTGTTAAACAGTCCGCAAATTTAGTTCTATTTAAGAATAATCTCAAAACTTTATTATTTACTAAATCTTCTTAGTAAATTATTATTATTATTATTATTATTATTATTATTATTATTATTATTGTTATTATTATTGTTGTTGTTATTATTATTGTTATTGTTGTTGTTATGTTATTGTTGTGTTATTGTTACTATTATTGTTGTTGTTGTTATTATTATTATTATTAACCTAACCTAACCTAACCTTTCTTCTAACCATGAGAAGGAAGTACACTAAGCACAGTCTCATCCGCAATAATAGAAAGATACAATAATTTCATTTAAAAAAATTAATTCATTCAGCTTAACAGCGAACTATCGCCACTACAGGCTGGAAAATTACTTAACTACTTTTAACACAATGCATCATTATAATGATATTAAATTAGAAATATATAAAACACCCAACAATCAATACAACTACTACTATACAACTGAAAAGATTTTTTTAATAGTATAAATATGCTTATAATTATATTCTTTAAATTTAATTATAATTCATTCAGCTCAACAGCGAACTATCTCCACCACTGGCTGAAAAATTACTTAACTACTTTTATCACAATGCATCATTATAATGATATTAAATTAGAAATATATAAAACACCTAACAATCAATACAACTACTACTATACAACTAAAAAGATTTTTTTTAATAGTAGAAATATGCTTAAAATTATAGTCCGAAATGTTAAAAAAAAACTGTTACAAAAATATCGGTATTGTTTGCGGAATAAGAGAATCATATTGCAATGAAAGCCTAAAATTAAAAACTACGTTTATAAGCATCAACTTTACTAAACATCACAAGTAAAACACGAGTTCACACATTTACATAGAAAAAACATGTCATGTAATAAAAACCTATTTTTGAAGAAATCGAATAACAAAACGTTTAACCAAAAACCTACAAATCTTAGAATGAATTCTATTAATGCGTACTGAGTCTCAGAAGCGAAGCAATCTGCGGTGTCATTTATAAAACAAAAATAAGCCGTCGCCAAGTTTACTTTCTTCAACTGAAAAGGAGATTTGCGTGATGCAAATAAAATGTCTGCAGCTCTCGGAGAACATCTGGCTATCGTATGATTTTAGACACCATACCATGGTGTTAAATCCTTCCTCTTCAAATAGCTCAACTTCTTTCTAACATCTTCCAGCGCCAGTGACAAGCCAGTATTCTTTTTGCTTTAATAGTTTTCGTACGGGTATGCTTAACCTGGCTTAACCTAGTGTACATAGGCGTAGATTCCGGGGGGGGGGGATGATGGATATATCCCCCAATAGTTGACAAGGGGGGATGGTCCATTGTATCATCCCCCAATATTTTGACTATGTATGGGATAAAATGGAGCTTTACACACTTCAAAAGACTGTCACAGAAATAATTTGCACTGTCTTATGCGTTTACAAAGATGAAAATTAGCAAAGAGAGCCAAATTTCACACTGAATGGTGTGTACGATATCAGTAATGTTATGTCAATTCCAAGAATGTTTAAGGTTATATCGGTTGATGAGGAATTTATTGATTAGGCCTATAATAGCAAATTGCATCAATTTATTTTGCAAAAACAAGGTTTCCAGCTTCAGAGGGGGGCACATCCCCTGTCCGCACAATGTCACACATTGCACTAACACCAGCCGCGTAACAGGGGTCTTGGGTCAGAGTGGGTATTTAATAAAATTAAAGAACAGTACAAACAACATCATTACAACATAATAATATTAACAACAATAATAATAATAATACGTGTGTTTGTAACTAAATATAAGCATTTTCATCATGGTTTTATTTATTACAAACATAATGTTTCACCATCTATACACATTGAGGCCCTTCTTTTAGGTTAAAATAATCTATCTTAAATTTGTGTTTCTTGAGTTTGGGACTATTATGTGTTTAAATAACTTAAAAGGATAAAACTTAAAAAGCCCTAAAAAATGCGCGCCAAGCGCGCAAAGTATTTTTGTGTTTTTAATGCTAATTTCGTCGGAATTGATGAAAACTCCCTAAAATGTGCAATTTATAGAGGAAATTGGCCTACCGTAACAAGAAATGCGCGCAAAGAATTTGAGAATTTTAGGCACTTTCAGAGGATGCATTTGTCAAGGGGTGGGGAAAGATTTTCCAAAGATAGATTTTTTTCCCTTGTCCCCTGGTGTTTTTAATTCTAATTTCGTTGGAATTGATCAAAACTCCCTAAAATGTGCATTTTTTAGAGGAAATTGGGCCATGTTAACAAGAAATGCGCGCGAAATTTGAGGTTTTTAGGCACTTTCAGGGGATGAAAGGGCGTTTATAAAGGAGTGGGGAAGATTTTTCAAAGATAGATATTTTCTCCTTGTCCCCCAGGGTTACGCCATCAGGCAGCATAGATCAAAGGAGTTATGACAGTTTTTGAAGTGGAGAAGGGGTTGCAGGGTGTTGTGAGTCTGGTCATTATGATATCTTCCTTTTTATTCTTGTCTTTATTTTTCTCT